GAATGAGATAAAACGGTTAAAAAACTGCAACGATCAGATAAACCAAACAAATGGGATAGTAACAGTCAAACGACCGAGCAAGTTGGGTTGCAATGGTCAAACGACCTAGCAAGTTGAATTGAGATGGTTATATAACCACAACGGTTAAATGATCGAAAAAGTGGAGCATTAGTATGGTCCAATGACTGAAAGGAGTAAACTATCAATATGGTCAAATGACCAAAAAAGTAGAGCATTAGTACAGTTGAGTGACCAAAAAAAGTAAAATATCAATATGGTTGAGTGACCCAAAAAAGTAAAGTATCAACATGGTCGAATGACCAAAATAAATAGAGTATTAGGCCTAATGAGTGTAAAATGCAGCCAAAAGGGTAGATGAAAGTAATGATTAAAAGATCCGTAGCCATGAAACATATGCAAGTGAGGCAATCTTCATATATAAGATAAGGTAGAATGAAGAGAGGTTAAGATATTTCCCTGAATATATTGGATGTCCATATTTGACAAGAGTCCTGTGTCTTTTATGTTGCACATTCATCAATAAGTGGTTATTCCTATGTAACAGTTCAAAAGATTCACATTCATGAATGTCCTATTGAATGCAAGAGGTAGAATCTCATCTATTTCCCATGAGGGGATATTTGAAAATATTACCCCAATAAGTTGAACTTTCATTTGCTATTGGAGTTTCAACTAGCATGGATGACTCCTTAGCTATCGAATTTGACTTCCTTTCTCCCTGTAATCCTCATCCAACCTTTCAAATTCATCAAGAGATTTTGATTAGATAAGCAATTATATTAATTGCAATAAAGCCTCATGTTCAACTAGCATTCCCAATACTGAACAAAAGGTCAGGTTGGAGTAAAATGCAAACAGAATGATTGTAAAGATTTATTTCATTAGATTCAAGCAAGATCAGGATGATCAAAAGGTCCACTTCAAATAGTAACAAAAAGAAGTCTGGCCAATAATACAAGATTTTGATGCAACTGGTTACAAGATATTCAAACCATAAATCATTGCTTCAGATCATCTTTTCTTTGCAACTCTGCCCCTTAGTCCTTTAGTCCATGAGAGAGTCTCATTCCTTTTTTGAATATTGACACTTCAAATCTTTCCCCTTTTCACGAAGTAACTCTCATGCTTAGAATAAGGAAGTTTCCAATTACCACTGCTTGGAGCCTTGTTGTTTCTT